CTTCAAGGTAAAGCTTTGTGTCGTGGGGGGGGTGGGTATTGATCTCCTTATCTTACTTTGCAAGTGCGTTCTGACAACTATGCATTTTACATCACTAAAAAATGTTCTCTCCAGCCCCTGTGAGGCCTATATTTAAAAAAAAAGTAAGAAATCGGTAAAACAAGTCCTCTCCAGCCCTGTTAGGACTAAATTTGAAGACAACAGCAATAAATCGATAAAAAGTCCTCTCTCGCCTCTGTTGGTCCTACAGTTAAAGATTTCAGTAATAAACCGATTCTAGCTGCCTTCCTTCTAGTCTTACACTGCTAAATTAGCGACTGCTAGCGCTGATAGCCCTCGTGTAGCTTTGCGCGAAATACAAAACAAACCAATCCAAGTAAGACGTAGTCAGTGCTCGTTTGCCAAAATCAGTTTTCGAATCACTATGTTTGATATTAAAGCACGATTGATTCACTGTTGCTACCTCTTATAGAAAAGATTCAGAATGGCTTATGAAGAATATAGTATAACTAATTCTTTTATCGGTTTTTTGCTGATATATTAAAATGTAAGTCTAACAGAGGCTAACGAGTCTTTGTATCAGTTTCTTGCTGATATCTTGAAATGTAAGCTTAACAGAAAATATCGAGGTCTTTGTATCAGTTTCTTGCTGATATCTTAAAATGTAAGCCTAACAGAGGTTTGCGAGGACTTTTCTAGCGATTTCTTACTGTTGTATTCAATTGTAGGCCTAACAGAGGCTAGCGAGAACTTTTTTACCGTTTTTTAATGTTGGTTTTATATGTAGGCCTAACGGAGCTGGCGAGAAAGATTTTCATAATCACCCACCGCTAACTCTTGTGCTACTCTTTTTACCAACGAATAGTGGGATTGACTGTTACGTTATAACGCCCCCACGGCTGAAAGGGCGAGCATGTGTTGTAGGACGGGGATTCGAACCCGAGACCATCTGTTTGCGAGTGAAGCGCCCTAACCACCTTCCTTAAAGAAAAGAAGCATTGCCTGAAATCAAAAGATGAAAACACTAGTGTATACTGAAGATAAAGAATTCTGGTGAGAACAGGAGATTTGATTGTGTAATATAAAGCAGATCTAAATACGCGCATAACACATTAAAGCCAGTGTCCCAATTACTCCAAGTTAAGAACAGTTTGTGTTCCAATCAAAACCGCATTAAAGGCCAACTCTTAAACAAAGTACCTTTGAGATTCTGGCTAAATATATCCCCACCCCTGCTATCTCCCATATCTCGAGCATTTTAGAAAACAACAAATATCTTACACTTTAACAGAACCAAACACGTTTAACCCTTCAGCTGCGATTGACATCATATGATGTTAGCACAGGCGACTGCGGTTGATATCGTAATTTACACAAACCCCAAATGAAGGGTTAAGAAATAAAGTGAAGTTATGTTTCTCCTTTCTACTTGATCTGTACGCAAAGCAGGGGATTCCCCAATCTTCACCCCCAGGACGCTTACTAGTCAACAGAGAAGACAATAAGAGCTTAGCTTTCCAGAGAAAAGGTATGTTACAAGATTTGTAACAAACACTAGCCCATGGAGCTACTGACTTAGATCACTTTTGTAATCAACTCGACACTTTAAATTGGTAAGATTTTACAAGCATAAAAAAAGATTTTAATCAGACATTTTTTTGTTCAACTGGCACCTACAGGACCCAGGTACGAACAGTGTATAATAGACTTTCAACAACACGCGTCACAATATCTGTAAGTGGTTATAAAACAAATTGAGATCTTATAATGTTTTAATTATGGATAGCTACTGCTATTATCAAAGATGTAACATCAATTAGAACCTCTATATTTTAGGATAACTCATGTTTTTAAAAGATACTTTTTGACAATCAGAGATATTTTGAATAATAACTAAGAAAATTTATTTCGGATTCCTGTATCATGACTTGGAATAATTATCGGTACCTATCTCACTGGAGCTTACTGGGAAATGTCAATTGCTAGCTATGAGATGAAATGTTTATAAAGTCCGATTAACATTCAAATTTTATATTAGATGTTTTATGTGCAGGGTTTCTTCAACTCTTACTGATTGATCATCAGTATACATTTATATTAAATGTTTCATGTGCAGGATTTTTTCAACTTTTAATCATTGATCATCAGTGTATATTTATATTAGATGTTTTATATGCAGGATTTTTTTTAGCTCTTCCTGACTGATCATCAGTGTATATTTATATTAGATGTTTTATATGCAGGGTTTTTTCAGCTCTTCCTGACTGATCATCAGTGTATATTTATATTAGATGTTTTATATGCAGGATTTTTTTCAGCTCTTCCTGACTGATCATCAGTGTATATTTATATTAGATGTTTTATGTGCAGGATTTCTTCAACTGTATACATTTCACCCACAAACAAGTAAGCCTATACGTTAGGAAGTTACACTCGAGTACTCAAACAATGTTGTCTGCAATTGAATAACAACGTAAGAAAAATGCATGTTATTCACAACTGAAATAATATAGTACAGCTATGATAAAAGTGAAAAAAAAAAAAGGGGAGAGACACAGGAGTGGGCAGATCCAACCAAAACAAGGAAATCTTAATGGGAATTATACATTAAGTCTATATTTAAAAAAGAGAGATAGAAATTGGAATCACAAGGTTATGAATACACAGATAAATAAAAAAAACGAGGTAACAGAAAACAAGTGATAGCAGTTAGGATTTCAGAGAATGATAATGATAGAGAATTGTACACTATATATACATGTGAAAACGTGTTGGTAAAAGAAATACTATCTGTAGAAACATGAGATAGTATAGATATAAATATCAAACTTAACTAAAGAAGCTGATGAAAAAAACTTACTGTATTTTTTTTCTCTAATTGTTGAAATAGGACACGCAAGACTACACAGCGAACGTTTTAACTCACCTGGAGTTGTTCTAAAACGCAGCCAAGCGGCTTCACGCCTTGCTTCTCGCAGGCTTTACGGTAAGCTGTGACAACTTCGTCAGCTGAGAGCGACTCGGTCGCTGTGAAAGAGAAGAAACACTTTGTCTTATGACACAGATTTAGGTTAATTTTCAAAAACTTAGAACTTAAAAACTATACTGACATGCAATTTCAACGAACAATGAATATGTACAGTTTCAGAAAGAACTGTTGGAATTGACGAGAAGAAACATTACATTAAACGTACACTGGTCAGTTTAAAATGGCACTGTAAGAACCCGAGGCGAAACAAAAAATTATAACATACAATAATATACACTTCTTTACTTATTTCATTTTGACCTTTGAACCTTAGAAATGTTGTCTCCCCCTCAATTAAATGAGAAAATTGGAATGAGTGTAAGACGTGCTATAATAGAAAGACCTTCAATTCGTGTGTTCGACACGAAGACGTTATTCCAAGTTTACAACGTAAAAGCGTGATATTTCTACATGTTCAGTAAAAATAATAGAACCTAGTAATGATGTTCTATTGAGCTTCCATATATTGAGACCACTGGTTAGTATAACCTCTTGAACACTGGTTTACTGACCCATGACATTACAGTTCGATCTTTCTTCCTAAGGGTAATATAAATATATCATGACGGCGGGTTGTTATATATCCAATCTAATAAAACCGTGATGAAGGTGATTTGCTATGAAGATGGCGAAAAGGGCTCTGTTGCTCTGTAATTAACCACATCTCCCACAGAGGGGAGGGATTAAACATGACTTTGTTTCATGCAGCTTAGCTTTAAGGGCCAAATAATTTTTAATCATAATACTAGCATACTGCAATCTGTTCGTGCTGGTAGAATCCAAGAAACATTCCCCGTTTAAAAAAAGAAAGAAAAAAAAGTTTAGGTTTCGGATAAAATCCAAAGTTTAAAAGTTATTACATACACATGGCGTAAGATTTTAATGACAGCAGGTTGTTTAGCAAATAGAAATGGACATTTTAAAAATCAGTTATTGCGTTTGTTTAAAAAAAAATCAAATATATGAATCTTAGTAACTCGACAAATCCTGCAAGCACTTAATATTAAAGGGCAATAATTTTATTATAGAGGGCGTTATATATCACTATGACATTCCTGTTGGATTTATCAAGAGAAAATGTAGTGTTAGCGCCTACACATTTAATTACTTCTAGTAAAACCGGACTGTCTTGTAACGATTAGCTGCAAGGCAATGCTTATCTTCTTTTTATATATACATATATAAAAACAAAAAAAAACTGGATTTAGAGTTATAGGACTTCCACAGTGCTGGCTTGTTTTATTGAAGATTGTTCCTTATTTTGTTTTTGCCTCAACGAATAAACGATTTTCGTAAAATGTACGAAATGATTACTGGGCCAAGTCGTCAAACAGGTTAATATTTTCAGTAATTCTTCATCTAGCCTGGCATGGCCTGGTCGTTAGCGAGCTGTTTCCAATCCCCATCATTGAACATGCTCGTCTTTTCAGCTCTGGGGGCGTTATTATATGACGGTCAATCCCACTTTTCGTTAGTAAAAGAGTATCCCAAGAATTGGCGGTGGGTGGTGTTGACTAGTTGCCTTCTCTCTGGTCTTTCACTGCTAAATTAGGGATCGCTAGCTTTGCTCGAACTTTAAAACAAACCAATACTAACAAATTAATGATCTGATGTATTTTTTTGTAGAGTTAATAAAAGGAGTCTTAGTTTAGTCTCTAATTGTCCATGTTCGTAATTCGGGGAGTGTTTAATATATCATTATTTCCCCGAAAGGGGGCCGAAGTCTGCCCGGAGGAGTCACCTATTTTAACCACTCGCACCACAGTAGTGTGTTGTCTGTCAGTCAATTGGTAGACACTATGCTGACGTCAGTAAAACGTGCGCATGCCATGAATCACGAGAAGAATTATGCACTCTATAGGCTACAACATAGCATGTCATACGAACTTCAAAAGGAAGAAAAAAAAATTCACTATTGAAACAGAACATTTTCGGATGCCCTGTGGAAGTACATCTGGTATTTAAGTGCTAACATGTATGTCAATCGATAGTCTCGCGATCTGAACAAACCCCGATACAAATATACAAACCTGAAAACATACGCACGGAAATTCTAAAAAATATACTAGATACATATGCCGAGAGTAGCTGACAGAACAACCCATAATAGTCACAAAAGGAATTAAATCTCTATATTTAGTAGTAGAAACTGCAGTTTTATAGCTTCAACGTTATTCGCATCCACTCGTATCCAACGATAGAAAACTAAAACTACAGAAAAATTGTTTCAATACAAACCGTTTCTAAGTACTTTTGACATATAACATTTAGATCGCGGATTGGTCTTGTAGATTTTGGAGGTAGCGAGCCGGGTTCGAATCCGTGCGATACCACAAAATAGTCCACGCACTTTTAAGCTCAGAGTGCATTGTAAGATTTATATTTATATACACAAATATAACTATTTATGAGGTTTTAGTATCGATACCACCAATGACAATGCTTTATAATCTAATTTCAAACGAAGACTTTCCGTGAGAGAGTTGATGAGGCAATTACGTGTCTTATTTCCTAACACGTATACAAGGGAAGCCTTTATTGCAGTGAAACGACTTTCTCAAAGCGAGATAATACGTATTGATCAACTTTAATATACACAATCGTACAAATACAGGGTAACAAAAGCATATACTCAACGTTATCTTAGTTTGAAACCGGTTTCCTCTTTTGAATGCTAATTGTACTGAAGCATGATCAATACCCATTCTGACACCTTATTGTTGTCATGCTTTCCATTTATTAGACTTACGGAGTTTATTCAAACTGTGGAGTACTAAACAATTATTACTGTTATAAGTTCAACAATCAATAACGTCGAGATAATACTGTAACGATATTTATACGACCTTGTTTATAAACAACTTAAAATCAATAGCATCGCCATTATTAAGAACTTTCGATCAAAAGCATTCTAGCTCTACAGTTCAAAACTAGAATAACATGAAATAATATATACATACACATGAGGATAATCCGGTATACGAAAACGACTAGAACTGCTTCACAATTATGAATCAATACAAGAGAAAAAAAACAAAACACGAACATACGATGAACGTAATACAATGAATCATGGGTACACTCGTTATTAGCGTTGTTTTTCGTTATAAGCAGGAATATTACTTTTGCCATTTCAAAAGGAGGGCATAATTTGAAACTATATACGAGAGATGAACCGAGAGATTTATCATAATTAAACTGAGTTTACGTTAATAACACTGAAACTAAATAAAACTTACTGAAGATGAACATGTGAAGAATCATCATAGACAAATTTGCAATATAGACTGACGGCATTTATTTGATTGCCAACTATTTTATGTATTTATTCTTAAATACTTTTAGTATGTTTTCTGAAGCGAAACGACTGTCGTTTCTTAGATCAATAAAAACTATCTACCAGCCGATATTCTCATAAAACATTTCGGTTATTGATGTTTATAATCATGGCGGATGTGACGTCATGAACCCTAACTTTTGCTGGACAAACCGACTTGAGCAACGTTCTACAAAGTACTGTTATATTACACTGACGGAAGATGGCGTTCTTGTCGTGAAATTACAGTTATTTGTAGTAGAAAGCTGGTTGTGCACAGTTAACGAGATGATGACAGTGTAGAGATTTACAAAAAAAAAGAAAAAAAGAAGAATCAAATCAGTTGGAATGCAAATTCTATTAATGTGTCTATTCTTCGCATAATTTTATACCTTGGCGGCGACCGCGATGTCAAGTTTGAACTTCTGAGTTGAGTTTAGTGCAGTGACAATCCTTGGGTCTCACTCCTCCTCGTGTGTTTCTTTGAAGTTAAGCACAAAGCAACACGATGGGCTATCCGTGCTCTGCCCACCACGGGTATCGAAACCCGGATTCTAGCGTTGTAGGTCCGCAGACATACCGCTGTGCCACTGAAGGGCCCTCCTCATGTGGAGACCGGCTGCCTCACAGGTGGTAGAAGCAAGCTCCATTACTGTTGTTACCACTGGCTTTCTGGCTGTATATTGATTCCCCTTTTCCTATCTTACACCATACGGTACTTTGTTTTCCAGCAGTCTCATTTCCTCTGAATTCAGGTGAAGACATCCCACGGTTGCCGTTTTTACTTTACTAGTAGAAAGTAGGTCAATATTTCCAGTGAAGTTGTGCTGAATTTGATAAAGGTGCTCTTCTTTGACGCTTCCTCTTTTAGCTCCCTGCATGGGCAGGCACCTACATGTAGGTGATGGCCTTATCATGCAGTTACTTTACCGTCTGTCATCAATTTGGGGACCAACCACTCTGAATTTTATGTTGTAATTCCTGTGAGTCATTCACGTATTTTATATTTGTGGCGCTGTTTGCAGTTCGTTGCTTTCAGGGATCCGGAGAGCTTGCTTTATGGCTTCCAGCTGCATCCTCGTGTTGCTGATGAAAAGCTTGAATTCTAACACTATCATTAAGCAGAATGTTATTTCTACATGAGACGATGAATACTCAACCAGTTCTCAGCTGTAGGAATCATCTGTGGCTATGATGGCAGATGACTGTCCACCATGGTCTTTAAACACATTTTGACAGGCCTTTTCTGTCCTTCTGCCCAATCTCAACATTTTCTGCCTATGCTAATTTCCACAGATCCCAGTAGAGCCATGTGATTTTATTCCAATATGGGGACATCTGGTAGTGATGAATTATCTCAGTGCTGGCTGTAAGACGCCTGTCCACCCATGATTGTCTCCTGAGGCACCTCTTAGGGGAATCCCTACTTAGCTGATCTATGCAGGGTCGTTGTAGAGCTAGAATATCCCAAATGAATAGAGCAGTAGCTCTATGGTGAAGACTTTTGTTTGTAAGCAGATCTGTGTTCTGCAATGTGCTGAGGCTCGTGAGGGCTTTGTTGGTGGTGGCTGAAATACATCCCGTGACCAGTCTTAAACAGGTGTTTTGTATCTCTTCAATCTTATCCAGCTATGTGGCACTTATACTAATCACCGGCAGTGGATAATCCAGGAAGGAGTGGAT